CATTCTTTAGAAGGATGCTGTTTAGTCTCCATGTATTTGGGTTCTTTCCAAATTTCCTCTTATGATTGAGTTCTAGTTTCAGAGCATTGTGGTCTGAAAATATGCAGGGAATGATTCCAATCTTTTGATAATGGTTGAGACCTGATTTAGGACCAAGAATATGATCTATTCTGGAGAATGTTCCATGGGCACTAGAGAAGAATGTGTATTCTGTTGCTTTGGGATGAAATGTTCTGAATATATCTGTGATGTCCATCTGGTCCAGTGTGTCATTTAAGACCTTTATTTCCTTGTTGATCTTTTGCTTGGATGATCTGTCCATTTCAGTGAGGGGAGTGTTAAAGTCCCCTACGATTATTGTATTATTGTCGATGTGTTTCTTTGATTTTGTTATTAATTGGTTTATATAGTTGGCTGCTCCCATGTTAGGGGCATAGATATTTAAAATTGTTAGATCTTCTTGTTGGACAGTTCCTTTGAGTATGATATAGTGTCCTTCCTCATCTCTTATTATAGTCTTTGGCTTAAAATCTAATTGATCTAAGGATTGCCACTCCTGCTTTCTTCTGATGTCCATTAGCATGGTAAATTCTTTTCCACCCCCTCACTTTAAATCTGGAGGTGTCTTCGGGTTTAAGATGAGTTTCTTGTAGGCAACATATAGATGGGTTTTGTTTTTTTATCCATTCTGATACCCTGTGTCTTTTGATTGGGGCATTTAGCCCATTAACATTCAGGGTAAGTATTGAGAGATATGAATTTAGTGCCATTGTATTGCCTGTAAGGTGACTGTTATTGTATATTGTCTCTGTTTCTTTCTGATCTACTACTTTTAGGGTCTCTCTTTGCATAGAGGACCCCTTTCAATATTTCCTGTAGAGCTGGTTTGGTATTTGCAAATTCTTTCCGTTTTTGTTTGTCCTGGAAGCTTTTAATCTCTCCTTCTATTTTCAATGATAGCCTAGCTGGATATAGTATTCTTGGCTGCATGTTTTTCTCGTTTAGTGCTCTGAATATATCATGCCAGCTCTTTCTGGCCTGCCAGGTCTCTGTGGATAAGTCTGCTGCCAATCTAATATTTTTACCATTGTACGTTACAGACTTCTTTTCCCGGGCTGCTTTCAGGATCTTCTCTTTGTCACTAAGACTTGTAAATTTTACTATTAGGTGACGGGGTGTGGACCTATTCTTATTGATTTTGAGGGGGGTTCTCTGAACCTCCTGGATTTTGATGCTTGTTCCCTTTGCCATATTGGGGAAATTCTCTCCAATAATTCTCTCCAATATACCTTCTGCTCCCCTCTCTGTTTCCTCTTCTTCTGGAATCCCAATTATTCTAATGTTGTTTCGTCTTATGGTGTCACTTATCTCTCGAATTCTCCCCTCATGGTCCAGTAGGTGTTTGTCCCTCTTTTGCTCAGCTTCTTTATTCTCTGTCATTTGGTCTTCTATATCGCTAATTCTTTCTTCTGCCTCATTTATCCTAGCAGTGAGAGCCTCCATTTTTGATTGCACCTCATTAATAGCTTTTTTGATTTCAACTTGGTTAGATTTTAGTTCTTTTATTTCTCCAGAAAGGGCTTTTATATCTCCCGAGAGGGTTTCTCTAATATCTTCCATGCCTTTTTCGAGCCCGGCTAGAACCTTGAGAATCGTCATTCTGAACTCTATATCTGACATATTACCAATGTCTGTATTGATTAGGTCCCTAGCCTTCGGTACTGCCTCTTGTTCTTTTTTTTGTGGTGAGTTTTTCCGCCTTGTCATTTTGTCCAGATAAGAGTAGATGAAGGAGCAAGTAAAATACTAAAAGGGTGGCAACAACCCCAGGAAAATATGCTTTAGCCAAATCAGAAGAGATCCCAAATCGTGAGGGGGGAGAAAGGGGATAAAAAGAGGTTCAGAAAGAAGAAAAAATAAATAAATAAACCATCTTTGCACTTCTAATCAACACTGTAGTTAGGCAAGAAAAAGATATAAAAAGCATAGTATTGGAAAGGAAGGGCAAATAATGTCATCTCAAGGTGATGTGTCGAGGAGAAAATCTGAAGAATCTACCAACAAAATGGTTACAATTAGATTAGAGATGATTTGTAGGCCTCATTGCAAAGTGATCACAAAACTTGTATAAGATACAGTATATTCATGACCTCGGGGGAGGGGTCAGCAAAGAGCTTTGAAACAGGACACAATAAGTACCAACCATACAAAAATGACTGGTAAGGGCGCCTGGGGGGTCAGTAGGTTAAAACCTCTGCCTTAGGCTCGGGTCATGATCCCAGGGTCCTGGGATCAAGCCCCTCATCGGGCTCTCTTATCGGCAGGGAGCCTGCTTCCCCTTCTCTCTCTGCCTGCCTCTCTGCCTACTTGTGATCTCTGTCTGACTTGTGATCTCTGTCTGTGAAATAAATAAATAAAATCTTTAAAAAAAATGACTGGTAAAGTGAACTCCATGAAAATTAGGAACATTTGTTTATTAAGAGGCAACACCAAGAAAGGAAAAAGCAATCTACTAAGCAAGGGAAGGTATTTGCGTACTTAGAACTGGTGAATGATTTGTTTCCAGAATATGTAAAGAGCTTCTAGAAATCATTGAAGTAAAAGGACAACCCAGTAGAAAAATGAGCAGAGGCAGGGAGGCACTTTATAACACAGAGTCATCAGTGAACATATGGAGAAGTGATCACCCTCATTGGTCACAGGGAATACAAAATGCTAATACTTATCGAAAGGGCCAGATAATAGTAAAAGCATAGAGGTGCAGGGCATCTGGAATGCTCACACCTGTTGGTGGGGCTGTAAACTGGTACAGTTGTTCTGGAAAACTGCACAGTGGTATCAACTAAGGTTAAACATACTACCAGCAATTCCACCCCTTCATATACACCCAGGAGAAAGGAGTGCTTCTTTCCCTAAGTGGCATGTACAAGAATGTTCATTGCAGTATTATTTGTAATATTGAAGATCCAGAAACAACCCAAATGTCCAGCCACTCCAGAGAGAATAATACACTGTTGACATATGCACACAATAGGATGCACACGGCGACAACAAAGAAGGGAGTCCTGTGACTGGCATTCCACAGATGTGATGCTGAGTGAACAGGGTCAGGACCGCAAGAGCACAGAATGTGACCCCATTTATACAAGGTTCGAGAATGGATAAAGTGATTTTCTGGTGATAACAGAACAGTGCTATCTCTTGGGCAAAGGGAATATCTGGGCAGATGGAAAGGTTCTAGACCATGGGGTAGAAGTTACAAAATTGTATACGTTTATTGAAACTTATCAAACTGTATACCTAAGATTTGTGCATTTCACCTTACATGAATTATACCTTAGCAAAGAAACCAAACCAAACCCAAACCCAGACTGCTCACCCTTGCTATAGTGATCAATTTAGGCATCCACGAGCAGAAGAAGCTGTTGGGTGAATGTCTGATGGGAATCTGACTGAGGGCCAGGCAGTCACCACCTGAACCCACTGAGCATGGACTTCTTGTGAAAGGAGGTAGGAAGGATTCTGGTAGTCAAAGTGGAATACCAAGCATGTAGGGTTATGTCTAATTAAAGGAAATATGAGGAACAGAAGAATAGTTTCAATAAAAATGACAATGACCAGGAAGCAAACAGACACATACAGAATGGGGGACATTCTATAGGATACTTAACACCACTTCTCAATAAGTCAAGACTCAGAAAATGGAAGGACATGGGGGACGGAGGGACTCTGCAAGACTTAAAGAGAGGGAAGATGATCAGATCTCATCTGAATCCTAATTAGAACGAATCTTCTATAGGAAGACATTTCTGAGACATTTGGGAGCCTTCATTGTGGCCTTGCAGGGAAACATCCCTATTTTTGAAAAATGAATATTGCGGGATATAAGGATGAAATGACATGCCTGGATTTTACTTTAAAATATTCTGGCAAAGTACAGAAGCAACCCAAATGTGCCTTGATAGATGAATGGAAGGAAGATGTGATAGGCATACACACACACACACACACACACACAGGAGTATTACTTAGCCACTGTATGTTAACTATACTGGAGTTAAAAATTTAAAAAAAATTTCTGGCAAAAAAAATAAAAAGGACAGATGCAACAAATGTGGCCAAATAGAGTCTGGAGATGGGCACGTTCATTCACTGCATTTTGGTCTCTGCTTCTGAGCAGGTTTGGACTGTCATAATTAAAAGCAAGAGGGGACACAGTGGGGTGGGGGCTTGATGGGAGGGGGCTCAGCCTGAGAGAGCTAGGCTCAGGGAACATGCTCACATCTGCACTCCTCTGCAGAAGCATCAAACTGGCTAGTAAGCCTGGGGGGCAGCGCACAGTGTAGGAGCTAAAGGGATGAACGGCAGTGCACGGGCTTGGAGGAAGCAGTATGAGCAGCTGGCTGCCTACCCTACTTCCTCTTAATAGTTGGCAGCCTCATTGAATGTGCCTCATTGAACAGTTATACTTCACAGCCTCCTTTGCAAATACTGATGGCCACATGACAAATTTCTATACATTGGAATGTAGGCAGAAATTGCTGGGTGGGGCTTTTGGGAATGCTCTTTTTCCAGGGAGGGCTGAGTTGGCTGGTATGCAGTTTTGCTCTTCCCTTTACCCCTTCTCCTTGTCTGAAATCAGATGTGATGGCTGGAGCTGCAGCAGCCATTTTGTGACTGCATGATAACTTTGCAGTTGAAAACCCTAAGGTTAAAACTGGTGGAGCAGAGAGACTTGGGAAGTGGTCACCTGATTTCTTAGAACTGCTGTTTGTAGACCCTCATGGAGCTCTGGACTGCCTCCCATATTTCCCATTACTGGAAGAAAAACAAATCCTACTTTGTTTACGTTACTGTTATTTCAGGTCTCAGTCACCCAATTCCTAATGGAAATAGAAGCATTTCCCTTTGCCATTTGCATGGGTGACTATGTTGACGAAGGGAGATGTTTGACTCCCACCAACTTAGACTTTAGCTCCCAGCTTGAGGGCTACGTTTACCTTTTTTCCCATGTTTCTTCTTTTTTTCTTCAATGATTGAAGAAGAACTGTTGTCTGGGGACTCCAGGCTGTTCTCTGGAGAGAGACAAAAACAAAGCTGTAAACACAGAGTGAGGCTGGGGAGAGGCTTGGGCACCAGCATCCTCACTGGCCCGCTAAGTGGCCCTGGCAAGGTGCTCAGCTTCTCTGAGCTTCCGTTTCCACATCTGAGATAATCACGCTGACTTTGTGGCAAGTTGTGATAACTGTGCAAGAAAAGGGCCCATGTGTACACATGCCTGGCACACAGAACATATTTTGTGCCTTCCCTTTTGCATCCTTCCACTTGCTCCTTAAGAGGAGTGTAGGACTATTTTATTGGGAGGTCACAGACCCAAGCCCTCTGCCTCATGGCACTGCCCACACTTTTGCTGTGAGCCTCCCAGAATTTCCCTCAGACGCAACAGAAGATTCAGAGACACCCATTTTCTTGTCCTCCCTTCCACGGATACCCACAGGGAAGGGGGCAGTGGGTCTGATACTTCCTCCTACCCCAACTCAGAAATCATCTGTAGCTTGGCGATTCCAGTTTATGCCAGCCAGGGAGGGCAGCCAGCCACTGGCAGAAGGGGCAGGGGCTGCTGGAGAGCCTGGGGTGTGGTCTGGTGTGGAGCTCAAGGAGTTAGTCCTTTTGGACCAGCTTCGAGGAGGAAACCTGGGATGGTGAGGAGATGACAGGGTTCGCAAGGTAAGGGACGTGATACAGAAGGGCAGACCCTGAGCAGCTGGGCGATGGGATGTGGGGAGAACGAGGAGGAACAGCTGTCTTGTGGCACTGGCAGGAACGTCAAGGGCATGGGGCCCCAAAATCCCAAGGCCTACATGTCAAGCTGTGTATTTATAATGGTAAGGAGAGGTCAAGCCATATATATAATGGTAAGGAGAGGGGAGGCGGTAGGGAGTGGTGAGGCCAGCGGAGATTGTTCAGGAGCACAGGCTGTTCAGTGAGTATTTTCTTAGTGACTCAGGTTCAATTACCAGGTAGCAACATTTAACCAACCATATCATAAAAATCAGAACATACCACTATTATTCAAATAGACCAAAACCCAAACAAACAAACAAACAAACCCAAACTCTAATAAAATTCAGCTTTTTCTTAATTGAGAAAATGATGTGCAGACATAGCAGACTTTTTTAACAATGTCGTTTGATGTGTTATGATGACCACTGATGATGATGAACATGCCGCTATGAAGATCCTGTCAGATGGATCTTTGTTCACCTAACCAGAGGTATTTTATGCATACAGATTCCTTTTTTTTTTTTTAAGATTTTATTTATTTATCAGAGAGAGCGAGAGAGCACAAGCAGTGGAAGCAGCAGGCAGGGAGAAGCAGGCTTCCTGCTGAGCAAGGAGCCTGATGCAGAACTCGATCCCAGGACCCTGGGGTCATGACCCAAACTAAAGGCAGACTCCCAATCAGCTGAGCCACCCAGGCACCCCATGCACACACATTCTTAGATGCCCCTTACTTCTTTACTGAACAATGAATCTGCTTTCATGCTACAATATGGATGAACCCTGAGGACACTGAGCCCAGGGAAGAAGCCAGTCACAAAAGGACCACTTCTATGAGGTCCCTAGAGTCATCAAATTACACATAGAAAGTAGGATGGTGGGTGCCAGGGGCTGCGGAAGAGGGGATGGGAGTTAGTGTTCAATGGGGATAGAGTTTCAGTTTTACAAGGTGAAAAAGTTCTGCAGACAGATGTGGGGGATGATTGCACACGAATATGAATGTACTTATAACTGAATGTTCCACTTACAAATGCCCAAAAGAGTAAATTCTGTTATGTATATACAGTTGACCCCAATTTTTAAAATGCTAAAAAAAAAAAAAAAGAACGTCTGCTCATGTCTAAGTCTCATTGCTCCTTAGCCAGGTCATGTGGTGGACCCTGAGGCTGTTTCCAGTCTTAACGCAATTTCCAAGCTTGTGCAATGGTTACTCTCTATTACCTAGTTGAGCAGGACCGGGTCCCACACACCTGGAATTTTGTCAGTAGGACAGGTGATCAATGCATCTCAGTTTTAATTTGCACTTCTCAATTATGGAAACTATTGTGTGTCTTTTCAGATGTTAATTATCTGCTTGCTTCTCTGTTAGTATCCTTTGCCTATTTTACTATTGGGATGTTGTAGTTTTTAAATGATCTTGAGAACTGTTATCTATTAGAGGACTCTAGCTCATTTGTTTGTCAGAGCTGCTAAAAATATTTTTGCTCCAGCTGATATGACAATTTCCTTTGGATTGTCTCTCATGTGTTTTTCTTTCGGCCTTCTGTGTCTTGTTTAGAAAGGAATTCTGCATCTGAAAGTTAAATACATTTTTAAAACTCCTGTTTTCTTCTAGTACTTTAACAGAATTGAATTTTTAAATTTAAAAATTTTATAGATTTTATTTATTTGATGACAGAACAAGCAGGGGGAGAAGCAGAGGGAGAAGCAGGCTTCCCACTGAGTGGGAAGCCCAACCACGGGGGCTCGATCCCAGAACCCTGGGATCATGACCTGAGCTGAAGGCAAATGCTCAACCAACTGAGCTACCGAGGCGCCCCAAATTAAGAAGTTTTAAAATGTGAGCCTTCTTTTAGAAAAATTCTCCAAGGAAGACAGGGGAGGTGAACTGGGTACAAAATGTCCTCATAAGAAGTGATAAAATTTTAGTACCCCATCTGCCTTCTGCAGTACTGGAGTGCGGGGACCGGGGGTGGGGGGCGGTGGGGCGGTGGGAAACGACAGCTCCCCAGGGAAGCCATCAGCTGACTTGCTCCTCTCTAGCAGCCAGGGGTCTCTCCCCCTCTACTCCCCTGAGCCACCTTCTCTGCATTCCAATTACAAGAGGGCTGGGCCACCATCATGGGCCCCAGTTCCCGCCATCTCCCTCCTTCACCCTGGGACTCACTCAGCACCTCCCCTGCACACTGGCAAGCCTGTCCTCTCCACTGCAAGTCCCCGCCGCTCCCCCACAGAAGAGGGCTGGTGGCTTCAATGAGGGTGGGAGGGAGGGGTGGATGCAGGGCTTTTCAGGAGAGCCTGGGGGCTTGGTGCCAGACAGGAGTGGGCAAGGGAGAGAAGGAAGCACAGGGGAAAACTCCATCCCTTGGGTATAAACTCCTGTGTTTCAGGTGCTGTTTGCTGAGATGGCAGAGAAGGGAGGAAGTGGGGGGGCGGGCAAGAGGCCTGGAGCTCAGGCGGAAGTGCTGGGTTCAGGTGCCCGTGGGAGCAGCCAAACAGGGACTCTGAAGAGGCCACTCCTGATGGAGGTCTGGGGACTAAGACAATAGAGAATGAAAATGTGTCATTGGCGAATAGATGGAAACTGAGGCCGTGCTTGTGGTCGAGACAGAGGATGGCGGGGACAGCCCGAGGAACCCCGATGGTCCAGGAGCTTGGCAAGGAGGCCTGCGGAGCAGAGGGACAGGCGGGAGAAGACCAGAGCCCCGAGGGGAGGGTGGAAGAAGGAGCCAGGGTCTAAGGGGAGGTGCTTTTGGAGAGGTCTTAGCCCCAAGAGTGAGATTGGTAGTGTGGATTGAGGGGGCAGAAGCCAAGATCCCACAGGGTTAGGGAGGGGAGGCAAGTGGACATGGTAGGTTTGGTCAGCTCTCAAGGGATGGCTGGGAATGGAGGGGAGGTGCACAGTTAGAAAGGGACCATGCAGCTGGGGAACGGCCACCACTGGAATCCCAGCAAGACACAGAAGTGTGATGCAAGTGGCGTGATTGAGGGGCCCAAGAAACAAAGAGGGGCAATTCCGTAGCAGCCTTGCCCATCCCTGGGTATGAGAGGGCAAATGAGAGACACAGACCAAAACCCAAAGATGAAGCTGTATGAAGAGACTTGACCACGCTGAGCAGACTGGCAGACCTTTTTTTTTTTTTTTTTTTTTTTTTTTTTTGAGCTGGGGTGGAGAGAGTAAAATAGAGAGAGGGGAGGAGCAGAGGGAGAGAGACTCCCAAGCAGACTCCATGCCTAGCATGGAGCTGAGGCAGGGCTCCATCTCACCAACCTGAGATTAGGACCTGAGCCAAAATTAAGAGTCGGACACATAACCAACAGAGCCACCCAGGTGCCCCAGGGCAGACCACTTTAAAACACAAGTCATAAAACCACCGGTGTGTTTACCTCCTTCGCGGTGGATGGCACCTGAAACAGCCCCCAGTGTCCCCGGGCTCCAGGCACTCACAGCCTTCAGCATCCCTCCAGCAAGAGATCATGGTTGGTTTGTGTGGTCAGCTGCGGAAGTGACAGCATGGGACTTCAGAAGCAAGGCCAGAGAGGACATTTGGGCCCTGCTTTGCCTCTCTGGGATCACCTGTTCTGAAGGGGGTCAGCCCCAGCCAATGGCCACATGACTAAACCTGCCCAGAACTGATTCTCCAGCCCTGGTCAAGCCTTCCGGTGACCACGGAGGAGACCCCCTGGGTCTGAATCCCCAAGCCAAGCCCCTCATGAGCTCCTGACCCAAAGAAACTGAGCTAACTCATGTTTACTGTTTTTTCAAGCCCCTCAGTTTTGAGGTAATTTGTTACACAGCCCACTCTTCAGGGGCATCCCAGGCTTGGGAGGTCCAGGACCGCAATCCACAGGGTTTGGGAGACCCTACGTGATCTCACGCAGCGACCTCTGCAGCTTCTCATCTTGCTCCCAGCCTCACCCCTCCCTGCTACCCTCTGGCCACCTGAAGACTCTCACAGACCGTCCCACAGGCAACACTACCCTTTGCTTTTTTCACTGCACGGGAGTCCAAGCCCCGTCAGTCAACATCTCCCTCATCTGTTGTTGGCCCCCTGACCTCCCCCCCACATCCAGGACAGAAGGGCTTACTGCTTGCCCTCCCAGAGATGGCACTCCCCTCTCTTGCACGTGTCACATCTGGTATTATGTAGGGTCACCTTCTTTCCCAAGGTGGGCAACTGCTCCAGGTGCATTAAGGATGTCTTGTACTTTCTGCACCTGATGCTCTAGCACATGGGT